AGCCAAGCGTTCCCACTCGGTGCAATCGGAGTCATCATCAAAGTTGGTTTGGAATATCTTTCGAATATCTTCCTGGGTGGTTTGTCGATGGGTGTAAAAGGAGGGTTTTCGCTTTGGTTCTCGTGACCGTTGTCGTTCGTGGGACTTGGCACGCTGAGAGCTGGAGGACCTTTGACGCTCTCGTTCCCGTTCTCGTTCTTTCTGGCGTTCTTCCTCCTGACGCCTAATTTCCTCCTGACGTTTTCGTTCCCTTTCTCGCTGGAGCTCTTCCTCTCGACGCCGAGCTCGTGCCTCCTCCTCAATACGTCGTGCTTCTTGTCTCCGTACCCGCTCGAGATCTTCGAGTCTCTTTTCTTCGGCAAGTAGCGCCTCTTGAAGCTCCCGAAGCTCTTGAATCTCTCGCAGTCGCTTCTGTTCCTCCCGATCCCTCAATTCCTTGGACATCCTTTTACGCTCCTGAAGATATGGATTTGATTAGCTGCTTGGAACATTGATAAACACATCTAAGGACTTTACCTGTTCAAGGAAAGCTTGGCGGTCCCATTCCTTCCGGGCTTCGCGTTCGCGACGTGATTTTTCTCGTGATAATGTTTCTTGTACAAGCCTCTCCGTTTCTACAAAGGCTGATTCTTCCTTCCTCCAGACCTCCTCCAGTCGACGCCTTGTTCGAACTTTATCTTCGGCCCACTTCTCCCACTCTTTGGCACTTCGAGGTGACTCGGGGTCAATCTCAACTTCCCAGCTGGCTCCAATGTTACTGTCTATGCTTCCCCTACGAGCGTGGGGACGGGGACGATCTCTCAATGAGTTAGAGCGACTGAGAGTGGGGGGAGTAACTGGCTCCAATACAGAGTTTCCTCGGGATCGGCCGCGGCGAGTACTCTCAAACTTTTGCCTAGCGACTTCATCCGTTTCTTTTTCGATACTTTCGACCTCTGAGGCCACTCGGCGTAGCATCTCTTCACGAGCTGTGGCACGTTTGACGTCCTCGTCTTTGATAGGCTCTGGACTGGCCGTTCGTACCGGGGACGTGGCACGCGGTATTGACTGTGAGCTGGATCCATGCCTGAGAAGCGGTGGCCTCTCAGGTGTGGTGGAACCGGTGGGTGTCTTGGGCCTGCGTGGCGTGAAAGGTGTATGTGAACGGGTAGGTTGGGCAGTGGTGACATTGCTCGTCGACGTAGTCGTCGAAGGTGGTAAAGGGGTGTTGGCGCGAGGTACTGGAGAAGAGTTGGATCTGTAGAGGCCTCCTGATGTTGACATAGGTGTCGGCATAGTAGATGAGCGAGGTAGCGATCGCGATGATAGATTATTATGCGAATAGATGGGGCGTGAATCAAATAAACTTGTTACTGGTACCGGCGGAGTGCCGAGCCGTACTCCAGAGGGGCTCGAGGTGCGCTTGGGACCAGCCGAAGGCATCCAAGGAGAAGGAGAATGAGAATGAGAAGAGTAGGTCCCAAAGTTGTGAAAAGTCGCCATCCTTGGCTGAGTATGTTGACTGGGACAGCGTACCGCTTTTATAGGACAATGGCGAAGGGTCGTGTGGAGCGTCCTGGACATTTATCTCATTTTACCTCCACTGCCTCTATCCTTTGATAGAGAAAAACGCGCACATCATCAATAGAGTGGCCCGAGGCGTGCAATTGGTGCCCACTGCACGAGTGGGCATGAAGCCAGGCCTACAGCGCGAGGCAACCGATGGATGCTCGACAGCTGTGCAAGGTACCCAATTAGCCTTCCTTAGATGGCTAAACTGAACCACCAGTAATCTAGCGTTCAATTGACGAGATTTTATCGCCCAGTCGCAATAGTCGATGATAGCCAGCCTCCTCGTAGTGATTCAACTTGGCTGCTCCGCCGTGCAAAAGCCTGAAGAGCAGGCTTGCTCCCGAAGGGCTGATACTCGAGTCACCCTACTGTATTGCACTATTGCTCGATTCTGTTGAGTAGCAGGGTTGACTCGTTAAGCGTCGTCTCCGTCTGCTGAAACGACTGACTCACCAGACATTGACAGAGCCTGCATAAATTCCAACAAATTTGAACCGTTCTCCGACTCCAGCTTCGCACCAATCCTCGATCACCGATATGGGTGAGATCAACGAAGACATTGTCTATCAAATTCTGCAGTATTTGTGGACCCTCCACTATAGTGGATGGGACGAAGAGTTTCGGCCAGAGGCCTTCCGACGCTTCTTCATCAACTACGCCCTCATCTCAAGGGTCTGGACACTACCTTCAGAGAAGTACATCTATCGCTCTGCTAGACTGAAATGGGCTAGTCAGTGGCATTCCTTCCGCTCTGGTCTCACAAACCCACGACGAGGTGAAGCTCTGAGGAACTGTGTCCGGGTCCTCGAGCTATCTCTTT